CAATGGTAGATAAATGAAAAAGATAGTCACTTAGGCCACAAGAATTGTATGCAAATCAGCATATAATTTGCTATTGTGTTTTAGCCAGCCATATAGGGCTTATAGTTACAAAACATTGCATACCCTGATATTTAGGAGGCTCATTATAACCTGGCTGGGTCTGGTATACTGGTGGTGCAGTTGGAGGAGGTGGCGCACTTGGRTATCTAGGATCAGCCATCAGTCTGAACTAGTTGGAAATATGTAAAATTATAATGAAACTGAATTATGGCAAAATATATCGAGAGTTCTATATGAGAGGGTGGAATGGGTACTGGGTTTTTTGCCTGTTTTTGAACTTGGAGAATTACATTCCATGCACTGAGAGTAGACGGGCATATAAAATGAGAGCTTAGCAGCAAAACTATAATAACGAACAGAAGCTGCATTGGTTCTGCGTTAATTTGATTTTGGAATTGGTGGAAAAATACTTGAAATAAGAAGCTCCTGCGCTGGTATACAACTCTTCAAGTTCCAACTCTTCAAGTTCATCAGAACACTTCTAAATTCGTTCAAATCGATGAATAATCACAGTAAATTCTAGTAAATTATAAAGCGAAACTCACTGACATCGCACAAGCATATAAGTTCCATCAAAGCTTAGAGCTGGTGCCTTCGTTTAGTTTTAGGACTTACATGATAAAATTCAAAAATGTTAACTCATCTGAGGTAATGATCTATATAAAACATGATTAAGCTATATTCTACATACCCTCGTGGTTAGCTAAGCAACACTGATGAGCTGTTTTCTGGAAACTAWTAATTGAAATGTTTTCTAGCGTGAACGAAACACGGAATTGAAATTATGTCATGTGATATTTGACATTTTCTTAGTGGGAGGTAGATGGGAGATTTTGTCTCATCATGCAGTTACGTCATTACTTATTTTTGGTCACTTTAGCTTCTTTTCCCTTTAACATTTCCTTACTTTCGATTTTCAGATTAATATGCACACATCTTGCACAACTTGAATACAAGTGAAAGTTTAATATCTTTTTATTTGCTTTTTCATCATTAATATTTGATGTCAATGATCCAGGGTCTGCTCTGATCGAACATGTGATCTCATAGACATTTCAAACATCCCGGAAAGTCCACTGAAAGTCCGATACGAAATCTTACTGCAGCGGACTTTGAAATGTTTTATAGGGTTTCCAGCCCCGAGTAGCAGACCTTGTGATAATTTCGAAGTCAAAGTTTTGTGAAATAATAATTTCTAATCTGGGACCAGGGTGGAGTTTTGCCTGTGATCGTATCTGCTAGGCCACACTTTCAGCGCTAAAATAATGTACCTTTGTACCTTTAGTCTGGGGTAGGGTATGTAAAATCAAAAGGGTAAGGGTTATTCCCGTCCATTTCTCATTATTATTGTCGGACTTCACTGCACGGCCGCATCACACTTGATGGCTAAAAGGCTTACTAATTTTACTGCTATTTTCTATTTGCTAGAAGTATATGGATCAGAGCACATTGAACGAATCAGTTGCTTTTGGTAGTGAAGCTGCTTAGTGATAACATCCACCAGCTAAATGAATATGATTTTAATTCTGTCCATTCTTCAGTTTTTGCCGGCTCTGCTTGTTAGCTTCATTATTCTWAGGGGGAACTGGGACCCCTCTGCCTCTTAGGCCGCGGGGCTACAGCACTGTTTTGACATGTTGGGGTTTCATCCCCACAATCTCATGCTAAAAAAGACGCACTGTCACAAKGTCAACAGCTTTGAGCTGGGATCACTCCAGTCCAGCCTTTACCATGTCAGGAAATTGTACACCAGGTGATTTTATAGCGGCTCGAAGAAGCAACTACATAGAAACCGGAAGATCCGTTTCAATCCCTGCCGAAAATTCTTAGAGAAAACGCCAAAGAGGACTGGGTTCACAGCTGGGTTGAATAACACTACAACACTGACTGCATCTAACGTTACGAGGACATTTCCATACTCATGACACGTACTAACGGCCCCAAAGACTTGTGGGAAAATGGACACCGTCAAATATGGAAACCAGGTCACCAATAGAGCAGTCAACAATCCAGATACCATGACAACGGTCTGAATATACCGGACCTCGTAGTGARGAGGCCCTACTTGCATCTTAGCAGACTTCCAAATGCGGAAATTTACCAAGGCGATAACTAGGAGGGGTAGGGCGAGGATAAGAATTGCCAAAGCTGTAGAGTACGGTAACTCGATGCTATCGGTGCAGAATCCCAGTGGTACAGTGATTGCTAGGCAACAGGTCCATAACAGAACCAGAAGTAGAGCTTTAGTATTATCCGTGATGAGATAACTCGTGGAGACGAGTAGACGGCCTACACTTAACGCGGTGAGCGAAGCTATGGAAACCGTGAAGGTCAATACACGCAGGCTCTTCAATGGCTGGCTGACACAAGACTCTTGAAGACTTTTAGGGTCTTGAAACATCGAAAAGCACTCGCCAACGATACTAACACCAGAATATAACATATCAGCGACAGCGATATTGAACAGAAACACGTCTGACATATTACTGCTGTGGATATGCGTCAAAACCGTTAAAACAATCAAGAAATTTCCCAGCAGCCCAACAAGTGAGAGTATGAATGTCATGGCATGAAATACGGGCTGTAAATCAAAGTACACACCCAATGGATYGTCGTATTTAATACCAGTGAAAAAGCAGTGCTGGCAAGCAGTGTGCCAGGAGTTTGACGTGTTGGCGCACTCCAAGGCAGGGCGTGACAGGTTAGTTGGGAAACTTTGATTCTCTGTGAAGAATGTAGAATTCAGCATCTCTTCGGCTTGTTGCAAATGAGAGCGTTGTTGTTTTTGACGTTTTTCGTTCTCTTTGTATTCCGACCTTTTCCAAGAGAATTTATGAGAACAGACTGCCCTGCTAGCTTTTAATGCGTGGATAAAAAGTCAAACCAAATATGGGAAACGTTACTGATGGTCATAACAGTTTAACTATATGCCTAGAGTGCTTTTACAGTAAAGCCAACTGAAACAATGTGAATAACAGCAGCTGATATACAAAGCCATTACTGAAATTTGGAATCCGACAGATGTTAGCGCAAAAAAGGAGAAGGAAATCAGAAATAGCACTTAAAGAAATTGAAATATATGAAAGACTAATGAGCACGGAATCTGACTCGGAAGAAAACAGGAGCACATAAGAAACTGAAATTAGAAAAACTGAAAAGACTTTAGTCAGTGTGGTGGGAACTAGCGGTAAACTAGTGTGAGCTGCGTCGGTGTTTCTAAAGAAACAGTTATGTGAAAAGATAAATTTAACACCGTAAAAAAGTATGTGGAAAAACTTACTGACGTTTCGGATGTTAATCTTTACTCCGACGAAGGATTAACATCCGAAACGTCAGTAAGTTTCCACATACTTTTTTACGGTGTTAAATTTATCTTTTCACATAACTGTTTCTTTAGTCAGTGTGTCGAAGTAAACGGCGACAAGCAGGGTAATTGATGATCTTCGATGAAAAGCAAAAGTGTTCGCACATTTCTTAGGAGAAACACTTTTGCTTTTCATCGAAGATCATCAATTAATAGTACAGTCTTTGACGAGTGCGAATATCGCATATTAACGTCCGGAGAAGTAGTGTTTTTTATCGCATTAGTTTATTCCATTCGGTAATATCCGGKTTTTTTTATGTATCATAAATATCAGTAATTTTGATCTGCTTGATGGGCACCCTTTGTATTGCTCGACCTCCTAGGGCCTGGTGCGAGTTGATGCAAAAATGGGGAACAGCGAAGGTTCAGTAAAAGATGAGGAAGAACTATCCGTCCAAATTTACGAAGCTGTGCACAAACTTTACCCTGAAAACAGTGAAAAGATCACAGGGATGCTTCTGGAGAGCGACCACGAGGAACTCAGTGTATTATTGAATGGAAATCACGAAGAACTACAAAAAAGAATAAAGTTAGCAGCTGATGTAGTCCAAGAAAACAAACCGGATGTCAGGTTAGTCTGGTTCACATGACGACGTAAGAACCGTAAAAATAAGGTCATAGTAGGCCTAGGATATCGTTGTGTGGAATATGCTTCGTTGGCTTACACGAGTGACATAAACAACCATAGTTTATAAACAAATAGGAGTTGATCACCTGATAAAAAAAACTCTATAACTTTATATCCTTAAGTGTAACCCACAAGGTGTTCACTTGCATCAGATAACCCAGGAACCCCACAGAATGAGGATTTCAAAATGTGGTCAGTTACAAGAGAGTTCATAAATGATGATGATGATATTGATAATGATGATGATGATGATAGCAATGGTGATGATGATGGTGATGATGATGATGATGATTGTTGTTGTTGTAAGTAACCATATTTATTGTTTTCATTACCTTTGTCATATATTTATTGATAAGAATATAAAATATTTTTTTCTTATCAAATCCCATTTATATTATTTTCTCTGTTCAGTAATGAAAGAGTCACAACAGAAGACGAAGAGTCGATTGGAAATAAGATTTATGGCACTGTGCATCAATTGTACCCAACATATGCTGGAAATATTACTGGAATGCTGTTAGAAATGGACAAAGAACAGCTTGTTTGCTTAATAAATGACAAGGATATATTATTAAGGTGTATACACCAAGCAGCACATGTTTACATGGAAAGCCAAACAGAAAAGAAGCAATTAAGGTATTTGAAAATTAGTTTAAGCAGCTGTTTAAAGGGACACTGTCAATGGATGACATGCGCGGTAACAGTCTCACCTCTAACGGACTTTGAAAGTATTCCCTTCGAGGTAAATCATTTTGTGGTSCTTTTGACACACTTTGGAATATTCTAGATCTGTTTACGTTTACGAGCTGATTTATGTCGCGCCAACTTGGAGTCATAAACTTGAAAACACTAGCCTAATGTTTTCAAGTTTACTCGCGCATGTGTGCCATTGACAGTGTCCCTTTAAGATAATGTATACTTTTCCTTGAAGGTCTTCAGAAACATATACCTTATCATTTCAAACTCATTACGATTATAATGTTTTGCATTAAATTCATGCTCAAAGACCAGAAGTTTCCAATCTTCTCAAATTATATCTATTTGATTTTAAACATTCCTTGTAAAACCTTTTCATTTTTTGGGAAAATGATTCACTATGTTAATTGCATTCAAAGGGAATTGGTTAACTGTATGTACACCAGCAAATATGCAGATTGAAATATCTGCAGGTCTTTAGTATTAAGTGTTCATTTTGATAACCAACTCTTATCATTGCAGCAGTGGAGATAGAGAGCAAAATATCAACCTGCTTGTTCCTAAAACTCACAATAATCATGACATACAATCTCTAGATGAAGGACAAGAGAAAGAACTTTTAGGAGAACAATTATACTTAAAAATAGAAAGGAAACACCCTAATGAAGCTGCAAAGGTTACTGGAATGTTATTGGAAATGGATGCACAGAACTTAAAACAGGTTTTGGACGATTCTGCTTTGCTTGATAAGACAATTCAGGAAGCACTTGAAGTTTTGCACAATGTTGAAAATGGAAAAAATGGTATTTTCAGTAATTTGAGTGAACAGGAAGCAAAGTACAACTCTATTTCTCATAATGACACTAATAAGACTCGCAAGTCAAGCATGGATCATGAAAGGGACGAATTAGTTGAACAATTATACCATAAAATTGTGGCAAGGCATCCTACAAAGGCCTATAAAATTACTGGTATGTTCCTGGAAATGGATACCAACTTTCTGAAACAACTCAATGCAAACTCTGAATTATTTGATAGACAGGTTACTGAATGTCTTAAGGCGATGGAGTAAAGTTGTTTGGTAGGGTAATTCGGAAACCTTATTTTACTAAGTATGATTTGTTTTGTTTTACAGAAGCCGGGTTTTCAAAACTTAAGGTAACTTGAACTCTTTTGCAAAACGTTGGTAACCAAAAATGCATGGGTGAGATGTGTTTGCCCTTATTTTCGAATATTATTATTTTGTTTGTGAAATAAAGTGGGTGTTATACTCTGTTTTAATTTTTTTCTTTTTATTCTCGTATGGATTGTGCACTATTTACAATATTAATTCTTTTTAAGTGATTGACCGTCGTGACTTTATTGAACCTCATTTCTGTAGCGTGAAAAAAGTACTCCTTTCATAATTACGTCATGGCATGCATTTTAAAAATGGATATTGACGTCATCTCGAGAAACCTCGCGAGGCCCGATCTAACGAATGATTCTTGAGTTCCTTTGCATTGCATATCGAAATGGTACTCTTTTTCAACTGATAACGATTGATCCATGGCGATGGCGAGCCGTTCCTCAAAGAATACACAACTTTTTGATCACCACGGGTCATTCCATAGGGCGACTGCTGGTTTTTGGTAGGATCGGATTTGGGACTGCTTCGAGATACTGCTCTGCCCCAATAAGTTCCGTTTTGGTAAGATGTGGCCGGGGTATCTGGAACCAATTCTTCATACAACTCCTGTTGAAAGAAAAAAAAAAAAAGCTTCCAACAAACGTTTTTTACCATTTAGTTAAAGACCCCGCCCTTTTGATAAATTCCAATATTGATTCACTAGACGCCAACACCGTAATTGTTACAATTATTTGTTGCAATTGAACTCTCTTGACAGTAGAGATAYAACACATGATGATTATAATTATAAAAGGTTACAACAGCGTGAGATGTCTAATTGTTATTGTCTTAGTATCTCGCTGTGTAGTGTTGCTATGTAATATATAACTTTACCGCCAAATGGGAGCACAAAAAGATCCTCTGTCTTATATCACTGAATGTTTATGAATGCGTTCTGTGTCATATCAAATCTTTGTTCACCATTGATATTGCTTTTCTTAGCGTTCTTGAATTGTTTTACATTAATTGGTGACTATAATACGAAATGATCGCTTCGAAAACACATTACATTGATTATACAACGTTCCACAATGTAATGTAATGTACTTTGCACCGCGCAGTCTACGACGCCTTACTGTAAATGCATTGAATATACCTGAAACGTTTAATTGACTTGTTCAAGATGCAAATTRTCCCTAAAGCACTCAGAGAAAAAGCTTTATCATGCGCRATWATCAGACCTTGAGTGGTTTATTGGTCTTATAGAAAAATGACAAGAGGAATGAAGTTATCGTCATTGAAAAAAGGAGATTTTATCTTGGTAACGAGACAGAGCAGACTGAATTAGTAAAAAAGGCAGTTTCGAAGCTATACACTTTTTTAAGCGTTTCGGTTAAGCTTTACATATTTTATAGAACCCTTTTTTATTGAGCGTGGAGCAAGGGAGAATTAAAAGGAACTTCATAAAAAATCTTTATAGCTATAACATTTGAATTGTTGTTTTTTCACAGAAAAATTACTGGAAAGAGCAATAAATTGTATGGTCAAAAGTTAGAAAGTGAAGATAAAGAGGATATACGGAACAGTAGAAAATTCTGAAGCTACAAACGCAAAATCAAATATTTTTTAAAACGAGGAGAGGGCATTAAGTTGACAAATGACGGATGTTGTTCATATTAGACATCGGTTGTTATGTCGTCTCCAGGAACTCGATCTATACAGCAATCACCATGTTTATCAACCCTCATTGTCAATTTTTGAGCCWTTTAAAAAACGAATCAAGTATATTTGCTCAACAAATTAACATGTTTTTACTGATATGATATCAAATAAATTAAAAGCTCATTTTGTTTGAAAAACCGGTTATTTTTCAAATAGAGTCAACATTGATATGGGTTACTGATCAGTTTATTGAAACTTGATGGGCGCGGGTTAGTGGAATGGTAAGACATTCAACAGAAAATAAAGCAGTTTGAACATTACCTGATTTAACTTTGATTCTCTAGCGGAATTAGGACTTGATGAAGTGCGTATTTTTGAAGGAAAAAAGCCATTCAAGATTCTTTTTGGTTTGTTGACTGGTTGTGYTTCGGAGTTTTGACGCGTCATTGCCAAGTCCAGAATGGGTGGACATATGAACTGGCGTCCATTTTTAATATTTTTTCGCATTTTCTCTGACTCCATTTGCTTGTTGCTTATTTGTTCAATTGTGTACAGTTCTTCTCGAGTCACACTAGAGCGGTCAGCTAAGAATTCAAGTACGGGATTATTTGAATTTGGCTTCTTCTCCGTTGTGTAAGTTATCTCTTCAAGTCCAGGAAACACAACAATCTTCAAAGACGCCATAACRTATGATTTCGCAGTATTTTGTCCAGAGTTTCTGCTGATATTCAATGTGAATTCATGCTGCACAGCTCGTGGGTTATCAAATTGTCTTGTTTGCGATGCTTGTTGCTTCATCTACTTCACATATGCAAGGCAAATAAACCAATTAAAAGCCTTTTTAAAGCCCTCCCACGAGAATTCGTCGGATAAACAGGTGTCCAGAACAACTCGTTAAAGCTCCACTTTCTCGAGAACATTCACGATGACTTGCTTGTCTCGAACCAGAAAAAGTGAAAGACGATACGGCACACTTTTGTTGAGAAATGACGTTTAGTGCCGACATAAAATATGACCTCTGTTTGCAATGCTAAGTAGTTGGCTTAAGTTTAATTATTTGTCTTACACTTCGGCATTAATGAACTAAAATGACAATGATATCCAAAGATGTCTGCATATCTCTTTGTCAGTGGGATTATTTCCAGCTAAAAGTTTTGCAAATTTYATGAAAATGTAAGCTTTGAAGTTTACCGACAATTACACAGCGATTCAACAAAAATAGCATGATTTTCTTTTTCGCGCGAACACCCAAAAAGTCTTTCGGAGATAATTAAAAAAGACTGTTGCCAATGGCACTGTTTTGTCTAGAACCGACTTTTGTTGCTATAATTGAGTTTTTTAAAGGTTCAAAAGCCATGCAGAACGGTTTTTTTACATTCTATTTCTAAAAATAGCACTTTGATTGAGTTTTTTTGCCTTGGCTACAATACCAGTATATTTGCCAAGCAATATACACCAAATATAGATTCTATGAATTATTAACACAAAACCTCTGAATTATCACAATTATTTCCTTTAATTTTTGTTTGTTTGTCGGCTAAATTCAGCATTATACTTTCATCTATATTTTCAATTAAGTCTTTTTACTAAACGGAACAAAATGGCGCCGTTTCAATGTGCCAATCCTCTAATAACTGTAGATCGAAAAACGTTCTGAGTGACATTTGGTGACAAATTGTCCTCGATTCTTCGAATATAAGGGACATATGTTAAAAAATAAGACTTTTAATTGCAAAATTAACAAAAAAWTTTGAAAGATTATATCAGTGAAATGAAAACAACTGGCACTTCATTTTCTGCTAATGTTTCGATTTTAATACCACCAAGTGCACACTAAATCTCCTGTAAAAACATGCTCCTTTGATCTAAACATTTCCTAGGTGACCTGGACATCGATGCCACGAACCATTTGGTTTTTGCTACCCTGATATATTCTATATATCAAATTTTTCTGTCTAATAATAATTAAAATAACRGTTATATAAAGCCACCATCTGGCTTTCCTGAAAACTAACTTAAATAGACGGCAAGTCATTAAGAATCAGAATGTATTTAAATATTAAAATATTTTACAGTGATCTTATGGTGGATTATTCATTGAACCACAGTAAATGGTAAAGGAATGACTTCTCCTGTCATTTCTTTATTACAAAGTTGTATTGTTTTTAAAGGATGAATTGTCAGTATCTACAAAATAACTTATTCTTCATTCTTCAGCTCTTTGAGGAGGTGCACCACAAGGTTGRACCATTTTCTGAAGAAAAGAAAAMATGAACAACTTTATTTTTTKAWAAAAAGGCAGAATATTAGAAATCAGACTGTTYTTCATTTACTAATAACATGACTCAATCAGCTGGCTCCATAACTGGGTGATGAAGATGAATTCCGARATGTGCAGKCGCTTTCAAAAATACTGCAGGTTTGTGCATGTTAGCAAGGTCTTTTCAGCACAAATATAGGAAKGTTGCGAACGTTGCCTGCAACCCTGCAGTCTTTTAAAACTACCATACRACWTAGAAACCATTTATTATGACTAAGATATGCACACTTAATACAATCCTTGCAAAATTATTTTATAACTTATGAATATTAGGCTATCGACAAACACAGACTGAGACCCAGTGAGAAATCTTTTTTGTCACCATGGATACTGRGTTCACATGTTGAACAAGACAAAATAATGAAYTCAATGCTTTACCTCTAGTAAGTTGAATCTAACTCTAGCTTTGCTTTCATTCTCAACCAGAGCAAAGAAATCTAGAAGGTTACCATGTCCAATRTATGAAGCCACACTGTCTCGCTGTTGATTAACTAACCACTCGCTATAAAACAGAAATCATTTTAGTGTCATCTCAAGAAATGATTAAATCAGTATGAAAAGTATAACCATCATTACATCAGATCATACATTGGAAAAGGTTTTTTACTGACTCCTAAAGACGAAATCAGGAATTTCTTTGTCATATTCTTGACGTCTGTATGATTAACAGCTTAGTCTAGATTACARGCAATTTCCTGTTTTCTTCTGCTGTAGTTTTAAGGTAGCTAATTCACACACACACAACACTTTATTTCTTTGCTGTGATCATCTTTCATATGTCTGTCACAGTAATGACATAGTTACCTCTTGAGGAAATGTATCTTGCTATATTTCCAATGCAATAAAGGATATGTTGCTGCCATTTATCAGATCACTGCTAAGGCTTTTAYTTGTGTTCTCTCTGACACTACTGTACAACCTWRTTCMCAGGCTCTTATCCCTTTGCCTGACCCACAGTGAAGCGATAAGGRCCTGGGAACGAGGTTGACAACTGTAGGCATGTTACCAATGAACAACAGCAATCAATATTTTATAAATTGATGATTTTGATGATTTATCTTCTACTGACAGTAAATCAATACATCTAACTTACTATTTTGATGTATCMGCATGTCCTGTCCCAACATACTTGGATTGYACTAAAGAAAAAAGAAATTTCCCAGCTTAGTTTCAGCTGAAATTCTGTATACACAGGGTTATTTGACACTTTKTTKAGGTCAATTTSGCTACATTTTAACATGGGGCCTATGGAAAGTGTATCCAATTTTGGTCACCAAGCTCTCTGCTTTTGGATCCAACAAAAAGTGAGCTCCTCTTTTTCTCATACAAGATTCATTTTGAAGAACCAGCTAGGAAGGTATTCTCTACCAAAACCTATATTTTATCAACACACACAATACATAACTTACAATGTTCCAGTTGACTGTGTATATTGTAACGGTCAGTCTGAAAGCAAAGAAATGAATAATATCAGTAMTATGTTTTAGTTCCAGTTTTCTTTTGATCAAGAAAACTGTGTCAATAATGTGTGTAATCCAAAGTCGTGTCCATGGAATATATATACAGTAAATATATACCCTATATTCAAGAATCATTAGAACCCTATGATATAAATGTCGTCCATGTTATTAGCTGAATATAATATTTCTACACTTAAGTTATATTTCTACACTTTCAGCTTTCTGATCAAAAGACAACCGTACCAACTGTCTTGCTGTTTATTTTGAGCATATTTTGCTGACAAAATCGCACCTCCTTTCGTAAAAGTATACTACTTTCCTTTTTTTGTCTTTTATACGTCCAAAATATAATAGTTTACAAAAGAATAACCACTTAGTTTGCTATAAAACGAGGAAATACACTCACCATTTTGCCTAGCACGCCAAGATAATGAYCATCACTAAGAGCCCGCGTTGTAAGAGTGAAGCCGCATTACGCATGCTCAARAGTMATCCAAAAATGGCGGGACGGGAAGAAAGTCAAAACACAGCTCAAGTYGAAGATGAAAATGGACAAAAATTCCGTGAAATTGGCGACCAAGCTGCGTGGTCTTTGTCATCTTGCAAGCCAGGGTTTGGRATTGAGCAGCTGCGTGATGGAAATCTCGAAACATATTGGCAATCGGACGGCGCCCAACCTCATCTCGTGAACATTCAGTTCCGCCGAAAGACCGCAATACAAAATATATCAATGTATGCTGATTATAAAGCAGACGAGAGTTACACGCCAAGTAAAATATCGATACGAGCTGGTAATAGCTTTCACGATTTACATCAAGTTGAATTGATAGAGCTYGAAGAACCTTCAGGATGGCTGACTGTTGGTCTAAATGATGGMGACAAGCCTTTGAGGACATATATGGTACAGATTGCCGTACTAGCGAACCATCAAAATGGACGAGATACTCACATGCGACAAATTAAARTACACGCGCCATTAACTGATATGGGTACTTACGATATGCCGTCATTTACATCTGTTGATTGTGCCATGTATAGTACAATAAGATAGCTTGGGATTCCTGTGTAATAGTGAACTACTTTTATGGGCTTACTGTGGAATTTTTGAGTGTTTTGTTTGCCTTTCATCGATGTCATGAAGACACAGGGGCACTCTATATCATTTAACAGCTTGTAAGTGCTCACACTCATTTTAACAAATTTATGATAGTTTCCTGGGGTATATACTCTTATTTACCATGGTTGACGTCATCAAATTTGTTAAAATTGTTATTCATTCACAAGACAAAGTTGATTGGATAAAAACACCATAATGAGATGGCAGCTTTGTRAATAAGAGGACAAACCATGAGAAATCCTTAAATTTGTTTTATTTAACATAGAAAAGCTACTATTTTGTTGTGTTATTGGGCTGTCTGACTCACATATTTCTGTTTCTTCTCAATGTTTCGACGCCATTCTTGTTGTCATCCTCAGGATTTTGATTGAATCTTGGTTATTAGTGGCTTCCAAAAATCAATGTCCGCATGAATATTAAGTAGGGTCTTTTTGTTGTTTTGAGCCTTCACTCAATCATCAGAAAAGAAAGAAAAAACCCTCAAAGAATGGTTGTGGTATGCACTTTTATTTGCCACAGCTTGACCAATTAAAAATTGTGAAAATTTACAATTGTGTTTAAAAAATGATGTATGCAAAATGTTGTATATTTTGTGTAAAACGAAAAAAATGTATAGACATTTTTATAAGTGATTATTTTACATTTTACTTTAAGATTGAATATAGGATAAGATTGAATATATATATGTGGGGATTGATCTGAATACAAGTAAAGCAGCTCTCTATAAGACAAAGGTAAAGGAATGCACTGATATTGATAATCCAAAACCAAGCATGCCATCATTTTTCCATGTCTTACCTCAAGCCCTGCTGCATTATTTTCTAATATTCTTATCATTCCTCAAGGTAGATTTTCTGTTAATTTTTTCTAGTTTTAGTCATAGTGGCTTCAATTAAACTGTGACCACCTAAATTTGTAAGAAATTTTTGTTGCAAATTATGTAAACTCAAAGACCTGGAATGGYATTCCTTCAAAGTGTCCTCTTGTTGTTAAATATTATTTGTGTCACAAAAACACTTCTAAGATTCCAGATGTTTTAGATACTCACAGTTCTGTTGGCTTGTTGCCCAACTCTAATGTTCAAATTGTATGTAAAATATAGCATATAGATTTTGACTAAAAATTGTGATAAGATTGTGCATAAAAAYTATGGCTCTTTCATTTCTGTGACTTGTAGCCATGATCTTTTCCTATTTCAGCRTTTTCTATGTAGTTAACATCAAGTGAGTTGGTGCAATGTTCTGTCTCCCACCAGTAGTGTTGGCTGTGTGAATGACTGTGTATCACGCAGGGATCCCAACACTTAATGGCTACAGGAGACTAATTTAACTAGCTAGAGTCCGGCTCAGCTTTGCTGTTATTGCATGAGCATTTCTCCAACTCTTCTGTGTAGTTATTTCTCAGGAATTCTCTTGATAATATATCTGCCTGAAAGTCAAAGAGTAAACAATRGTTATATTCATGAAAACAACTATGTTCTTGGTAAACATTTTGTTAATAAATATCGAAGCCAGAATACAATAATTGTTAATTAGATCTTCACCAGGGTTTTATGCTGCTGAGTAGTAATTTTTGCTGTAACATTTTCCATTCATTTTCTTACTCTCATATCCCTCCCTATGTCTCAGTTTGTTCTTGCTTTTTTTCTATGAAGAAAAACTGTTTTGATATTGAAAATGTTTATTTATTTTGTTTGTGTACCTGTCTTGTGGGTTCAGGGATTCTGTTGGTACAACAACGATCAACTATGTCTACTGCAGTTTTCAGGCAAACTCTGTGTCCAACAGATACGTAAACAGGCTTACAGTCTTGAGAGGTGAAGGTTGGATTGCTACTTCTTAGAGCCTAGCCAATAAAAAGACACTGCATCATGTAGTGGGTTGTATACACACTTTTAATAAGTCCCGAGGTATTGTTTTTTCTCCGCACTTGACGTCAAATTTATTCTTTTGAAATTTTTGCAATACARAAGGAATTCAAAAGAATAAATTTGACGTCAAGTGCGGAGAACATAATACCTCGGGACTTATTAAAAGGGTGTATGGTAGGTCATACTTTCCACAATGGCAGAACTGGGGGGTGGGGAGAGATTCAGGTCTTTAGCAGTGGAATAAATCTCATTTTCCACAGCCCTAAATCTATCTTTTATATTTTTTACTTTGTTCAGCCAGCACAGGCTTTGTAATATCCTGGATGCGCTACTGTTCCATATTCACGTATATTTTACATACCATTCCCCATGTAAWACCAGAATCCCCAACAAGGTGGAACGTGTCTCCTTTGTTATTTAGACTTCTGATCTATCAAGGTGAATGACAGTTAGTGAATGACCATATATAGCATTTTTATCACAGGCAGCTGTGACCTCATCACTGCAGGAATCCCATTTTAWGGAAGTATGAAGATGATATGATGATACAAATATAAATTGTCTAGAGATTTTGAATTATAGGAGTTTATGGATGATGGTATGGGTTGCATTACTAAAAAACAATATAAAATACAAAGTGTCGTKAACACAGGGAACCCATGATTACCTGTTGCTTGTGAAGCTCTCCTTTCTCAATCCCATCATGATGGAACAAGTTCTTTGCTACTCCAATAGTTGGAATGTCAGTAAGAACACCCAAATGACAAGCTATACCAAATCCTGATGAAATCACAACACTTGAGAGTTTTGACAGAAACCCTTCGCAACTAAAATGTATCCTCTGCAGTCTTTTACATGTAATGCTGAAAATATGAATCATTGTTACCTCTTGAATGCAGTAGTCCATTGCCATCCACTATAATAACCTATAGAAATTAAAATTTTCTTTTTAGCAACATGCTGTATACCCTGTGTGGCATATTCATTGAGGCTCACTTTAATGTACAAGTATTTTTGTCTTCTACTAGTGTCGCAGCAATCTAATGATACCTGAGGCATGAGTTCTGGTGATTTCTTTTTAAGTCTTTCAATACAATCAACAAAGAAATCCACTTCTCTGAAGGCAAGAAATTCAGTAACAAATGGAGCTGTRAGATGTACAAAGCTTAGATCTTTGTAAAGGATCTACATATTAAAAAATGAAARAATAAAAATAAATAAAATATATCAATAACCATCTTGCAGATGCTTCAAATTAAGAAAGCTGCTTTCTGCTAATCAGCTGATTTATTAAAACCAGTGCATGTGAATTAATGCACTACAAATATGCAGAATATCATTGCCTATGTAATCAAAGTTTCATAATATTAATGTTATAATTTACTTTGAGGTCTGGAAATGACAAAACAACAAAACAAGGACATGCATGGGTGAAGTCATCTTTAGGAAAAGAAATATCCAGACCACCAACAAGATGGAGACCACTGAAGTCTTCGTCACCATTTTTCCAGTCCATGTCGTCTTCTGTGATGAGCTTTTCCTTCAATTTGAGTTGTTCCCTACACGAAAGTGATTGAATGAAAAAAGTTGCGAGGTTGATAAATTATAGTCACATCATCTTTCGATTGGCACGCACGATCATGGAAATAATTTACTAGTTAAGTGAGAAAAAGAATTGCCAGACATGACTTCTTCTGACCTGTAAAAGCACGTCAAAAAAGTTTATTTTACTCACTTTTTCCATGTTTCCACGACTTCGTCTGAAACAGTTAAATGAGACTTTTCCATTAAAAATTATTCTTTGACATTTGAACAGAGATGTATACACGACCTTACGGTCTTATTTCTTATGGTTAGCAATAAGTTAACAATAACGTAATTGCATATCTTTTCGAAACTTTTGCATCATCCAACAAATTCATATTGCATCCATTTTGTTTACAAACACTAGATCCAGTCTACCTAGGCGTAAAGTACCAAAGGAGGCCCGAAACTTTGAAAACTTTCCTTTCTGTAAGTAAAAATAATAGTATCAATAATAATCATAAAAACAAATGTATTCTCAAATATATAAGTAGAAGATAAAACGTAAAATTTTAAATCATTTTTTATCAAACATGTAATGAAAAATTACTCTGAAACGTCAGAAATCAAATTGTGAAATTTTGGGTTTCCTGCGTAGGTCGCGATGGCAACGGAGAGATAACAGTCGCCATTTTGTTGCTGAAGTTGTGATGTTGGAAATYATTTCTTGTTCTTCAGCGAAAGTTCTCTTTTAAAGCGAATAAATGGCGGAAAGTGGCGAAGGAGGGGGAACCCAAGAGTCTGGTGGATATGATTATAAAAGACTTCACAGTTATCCTCTAATAAGAGTAGGTTTATAAAGCTCTTTCTTTGCATTTGATGTCGATGCTTTTGATGGACAACTTCACTTTGTATGTTTTGATTTGAGTGTTAATGCACCCTGCAATAATACTTTATTCTTGATGTATTGCAGTATTCAGACATGAATGATGAAATGCGAACSGAAGCAATGGAGCTTTGTGTCACAGCTTGCGAAAAGTTTTCCAGCAACAATGARGTAAGAAGGTTGCAACAGTTGCTTCTAGTTGCACCCTGCTCCCAGATGTTTTCTTTTCTTTTATAGACGTTTTTTCAGTATTTATCGTACTTTTGTAAAGCAAAGACAAAAATACGAAATAAAAAAACAACTATTAAAGAAGAGAAACCTCTGGAACCAGGGTATCCTAGTTGCTGATAAGCAAAAAACTGACCTGAGATTTGGGATCAATATTTTACTAAAGAAATTATCAATCTCTATCATTAGTTGTAAATCATAAACAAAAGATGATGGTGATGACACACTACAGTATTGAGACTAATGAGGGTCACCCCTATTGAGAATTTCACTCCTTTGGTCTGTAGCATGCCTTGTCAAACATAGACCAACCCTCTCCATTCCCCTCAGGCTGCAAYAGTAACAGTTTATTACTTTTCCAGACAGCTGCCAAGATGATCAAGGAAAGTATGGACAAGAAATTTGGTGCATCTTGGCATGCAGTTGTTGGTGAAGGCTTCGGCTTTGAAATCACTCATGAAGTCAAAAACCTGTTRTACTTGTTCTTYGGTGGTACTATTGCAGTKTGTGTTTGGAAGTGCTCATAATAGAAWAATTCAATAATATTTTATGCCATCTTGTGTTGTGCAAACTCTTWTAACCATCATTGTATTATTTACTTTAATTTACAACATTTTGTCTATGCAATGGGTTCCATTTTAAAAACCTTTTGTGTACAAAGTGTAGTAAATTCAAGAAAATTAGACTGATCCCAAAAGAAGTTTAGTTTGCCTCTCATTGGACTCCAATGGTGTAACAACTTCATAATATAATGTTCAAWAAATCATGACTAATGGAATCAGTATCGTAAATGATCTTTTTGTGAAAGCTATGAAAAGGATGGAGTGTTAATCAAGAATGTTATTTTGGAAAACTTTTATATATTTTTTTTCTTGAATAGAAATTACTTTAATTTTTGACAGCATATTTTCAACACATACATGTAAAATGGGTTATAATGTCTTGACAAACTTTCTTTTTGGCATTTAGAGTAAGAGTTTACGTACTATATACAGTACAAATTGTATAACAAAGATTGGATGTTTTTTTTAATATTTATTCTCAAACCTTCATCAGTATTTTGTGCCATATTGCTATACAAAATGATTATTACCATCCAACCTCTATTCCTGCAAACAGCAATTTCCTCCTTTCTTAGGATTGCTAGCCACTGCCCAAAGAAAGAAGGAAATCACTTCTTGTTGGGTATCCAAACCGTCCTCTAGAGTGTAAATATTGCTGTCATTTTTCATGTAAATAAAATACTCCATTGTAGAATAYTATGACTCAGTGTCATTATTTTATTCACTTGAAGAATTAATTAATACATACAAAATATCAGTAATTCCAATTTCTACACTAATCTCAGTCTRAATAAAATCATTTGGCATCCTTCCATCACTTCTTACAATTTATGGAATAGATTAGTCTGGAAAAGTAAAACAATAACTGTACTGTTCTGTAAAATATAGACAACAAAGAAGCTTCTCTTGGAGATTATCATCGATATTCTTTAGTGTGCCACAAAAAGGAGGCTTCTGAGTGAATTATTTGTATTTATAACCAACTTAAAGTTTTTTATCCTTAGCAGAGTGTCTACCCTACAGACACTAGCTTAAAAGTTGACTAATGTCAATAAAACAATTATTTTACAATATGATAAATTTCCAGAAAATTTATGCATTTTCTTTGTCAGTTAAAGTTGTTTTTTTTTTTAAATTATAAATTAATCATTTGGGATATGATATTTACATGCAAAATAACATTACAATATGTCTGAATAAAGTGATGATGAAGAATGTCGTTTGTCCCAGTTTTCCAAYAGAGGAAAGTATTCCTTGTTCTTTTTCCAGAATCTAAATGACGGACACCATTTCTTKCCYAAGTTAAGCGARTCCACACTCTGACAGTCCTCRTCACGGAAATCAAAGTTTGCTGTTTCTAGTACCGACCGATGCCTGATCTTGTACACTTTTCGTATAACATATATTAAGATGATAGCGACAATGATGCATATTACTATGGGCACAACTGCACTGATGGCTTCTTTCTCTTTACTATGATGATGTGGAGGAGCTGGTTCTAAGATAGTTAGAAATAAAACAAAAAGAATAAGTTATAATGTGCATGCAGATACATGCTTTTTTGAGTTTGTTAAGTGACCACTCCAGATAAAAATCAACATGCAATCAAATCTGTAGGTTTTATTGTTAAACCAACATCAGCCTTTTACTAACTGTATCTACACACGCAGTTGTCTGGATTGACCGTACAATGACTTGTAGGCATATCCATGTCTATCATCCATCATATCACACATACTACCCATGTTGATTTTTTGTGGCGTTGTTCCCCTAACATACAGCTCAAGCAACTATGTTATGGCCTAGAGCCTCACACTYTCTGCCTTGATGTTGATTTTTGGGGCATTGTGCCTTGGCCTAAACATGTAGTTTAAGCCAATAGGATATGGCCTTGAGTGTGTAAGTGTCATTCTATCACCTTTCCCTATCACAGTCACTGCCGTATGCAGTTTTAAAAAGACTTATGATATTGCCTTGAGTGTCTAAGAGTACTTTATTCATAATTACTCCAGACTTACCTGGAATAAAAAAATACTTCACTAAATGATCAGATCCCACTCTATTTATCACAGTAATATCTAGTTGAAATTTGCCTTTGYAGTGGATGAAAGTACGATTGATATAGAATCTACAATTCTCAGACAACCCAGTACAGTTCTCAATTAAAGGATGACCAGAGCTTGAATACATGGATAATTTCCAACACATCTTGAATGGAGGTCTGAGATAAAACAAGGATTATGAATTTAGATAATGAGAACTGTAATTTCTATTTGAAACTGCAAAGTCATGTTTAGTACTTTTTTATCCCTATTTAGGACTTAGAACATAGAATAGACCAGGTGAACATAAAATAGACCTGGTGAAAGATTGAAATGCAAAAAAACAGAGAATTGTAATTTTGGAGGAGGAGCTAGTGCGCTACCAAGCACACAATGGGTAGACATAGACCTGGGGAGAGATTRAAACAGAGAAGAATGCAAAATCTTGATGGAAGTGCTATGCATGTCATGTAGGCACACTGTCTTTATAACTTTGCTTCAAAATCAATTTTAGAGTAGAGGGTCCCTTTAAAATAACACAGTTAACATATCAATAGTCTGTTAGGTTAGGTGGAGTATTTCAGGTGCAACTTACGCTCCTTCACAAGATACGTTTGCTTCTAGATACTTGGTCAGCAACGTGTAGTTATTGTGCTCAAGTGTCAAACCAGATATTGGCTCTACAAAAATAAATGAATAATGAATAATTGCATCAATTCACTGTCAACAATATTGTACTACCTAGTAACTAGAGTGCATCACACGACTAATTTAAAAAACTTTGAGTTCACATAACAATATTGTAAGTTCTACATTATTTCACTGACTATACTTCTGCTCATCCAGCAATATATGARATTTTCAGAGGTCTCGCAGCTCTAAATATAAGTCATTGTGATYGGGCTGGCTAGAACAATAGGCTCTATTGTTTATGCCTCGTTCTTTAGAGTCACGCTGTCTTGAGCCAACCAATTACCAGCAATGTTCTTTGGCGCTGCGACCTCCAAGATTTTCCATGAATGACTCATTTTTGAACACTAATTGTTATCTAAAATCATCCACCGTTTTAGGAAATGGTCTATTCTGTGTCTTTTTACATGTATCTTATAAAAACACTTCTCCCTACCTTCTATAATAAGCTGCTTTTGAAAGGGATCAATGCTTATATTTCTCTGTTTTGTTTCCAGTGTTGGAGTAACATAGATATTTGTTTTCCCTTTAGTAAGAAATGTATGTTTGAAGCTACATGTATTACCAGAACCACCTATAGACCACTGAGCATAGCACTTCTGCACGATAGAATAGGGATTATTGTATTTAATGACCAGAAGTACTTGGTGTCCAAGACTCACATATGACAATTTATGGTCACTAGATGGCAATCTCAGTGAAGAACTATTTTTGGAGTCAATGACAATTACATGTGCCTTGAAATCACCTGAAAAAAATTACAATACTCATYACATACCATACATTGCAAGCAGAGGCTTCAAAATCAACTGTGGAAGCCTCTGCTTTCTTTATTATCTAGAAACAGACATCTWTGTACAGGGCTCGAAATAACGGCCAGACATATGCAGGACAAGATGAYCTTCCAAATTCATTTTTGGAAGCTGTCATGTCAAATTTTKAAAGGACAAAAACTTTATGTAATATTTTCCCAATGTGTTCAGRGGACATCGCCATATGAATTCAAACTAAAACGAGTCTGTAAAATCATCCAGAAACTCTTCGATGGATGTTAATTTACTGATTTCAAAGGAAAAATAAGATAATGAAATTAAGTTTGTAAAAGAATTATTTAGCAAATTGGGAATTGATTGCTTTTTTTTGTCTAAAAATGTGACAGGTCAATTTGTCCTTTCCAAACCCCATTTGGCTAGTCATCTAGCAATTTTTGAAGGACATTGTCATTTGACTGGCCGTTACTTTGAGCACTGTATATATAAGCACCATGAGTTAGATACAATAAGTTACAGTAGATAACAGCATTTATCATATAATTATCTATGAAATACCTATATTTCTCCATTACGTAAAATTGATATTTTCACTAGTGAAAATARCACATTTGACRTTTCTCTATATAGTGGAAGTAAGAAAAAAGGTATTTTRTGATATAATTTGCTTTCATATCTAATTATATGATAAACAGAATATTACMTGKTYGCTTGGAGATACAAATTTTATCTTCTCGTGTTGAAAAACTCTCACTTGTTCGCTACGCTCACTCRTGAGCCTGATAAAATCCGTATCTCYGCCAGCCATGTAATATCCTCTATTTCATACCTTCAAATTTCATTTCCTTGCTTGCAGTTCCATTGTACATCTTTCCGTTTGCCATGGCAAATATGACCACTTTGACATAACAAGTCTTAATMTGTGTGAAGTTATGTGATAACTCTCCTAACTGTGTGTTGTTAATATATATTCCGTCACCAAAGTCCCAGTAATAATTAGGTTTTCTAAACATATGGCTGGGGTCATGAATATTGACAGAGAGAAAGACAGGACCAATGTAGAACTTATCATATTCTCCACTTGGGGAAGTTTTGATGGAAGCTGTTATTGTATCTGTATCAAAGCACACATATGAATATTTTTGTACAAAAATAACAAATGAAAGATGTGATAAGATAAAGCTGTATGAGATTGAGACATGCATGTTACTGTAATCAACTTAGGCAAGTGTGAAAAACAGAGAACTGAGAAGTAGGCATGGAAGGGAACAGAATAAGAATATGCAAACCTACCATCTTGCAATACCTCGTTGTAATAATATTGAGGACAGGGAATTAACACAATATAGCAGTGGATTAAACACTCTTTTAAAAACATAAATCCAAAAGGAGGTGCAGGAATTTTAACATGTATTTCAAAGGAAATAATCTGGTTTAGCTTCAATTTGTGCATCTTGGGGGCTCTGAAGCAGTATACCCTCTTGTTAGGCTGCCTGTTTGGGAGGGACAGGAAGCAGGACAAAAGTCTAGGCTGCAAGGAGGGTTGGAAAAGCCTAAGTGCTGACCCATATACATGTAAACATATCATACAAACCTGTTATGATAACGTCAATAGTGTCACTTCCACAATTCTTGTATTTGGCTTTTGTAATCTTCTCAACTAATAGTTCAACTTTGTGTTTCCCAATAGATTTCCAGTCAGATATTGAAAAGTTGTAACTACTGCTTTTAACTACAGCGACTTTTTTCGTAAAATATTGTAAAGTATATCGAAAAGTTTGTCCTTCTAGAGGTCCATAACAATTCACAACTTTGGCAATTAGAGTTGTTGTCCCACCAATTGTTGTAGGACTATCACTAGCTAGTTGAACGTCGTTTTTGGCGGATATTATCTTGAAACACAACGCAATCGTAATTGCAGTGGCCACAATGGAATAATAGTTTAGATCCATAGTCCAGAATCTCATCCAGAATCTCACAGTGTAACTATTTTGCAAATGCTGAAGGTCATCACGGGGTCGATCACATGATTTCTAAAAGTTCAAAACTGGCCTTCATGCTATGGAAAGCACGTACACAAATCCAGAATCATTGAGCTGTTTCTTGTCCACCAAAACACAGCTGGAACTCAACYCACGTACGACAAAAGAATCTGGAATGTCTGGTACATCGAAATCACTGAAACCTGGCCTTATTCCAAAAACCTATGTAGCCTCTCCTTCACTCGAGGAACGCCTGCCGATATCTTCAGTAACACAACTATAAACTACATTATGCAAACTTTGTCGTCCTTAGCAGCCGAAAAGGCCATCTCAGATCACCATTCATTGCGTAACAATGCTGCTTTTCTTCCCAAGGCAGTTTTAGAATCTCTCTTGGCGTCGTCTGTAAGACAGAGGAAAATCTTAGCTCTACGTGAACTGTTGTGCCAGTGGCCTTTCAAACAGCTTCTTCTTCAAGATGTCGGCAGTGACTTCGAGGAGCTCCATRCCGTTTTGTTCGCGTTTACTCTACARAAAGCGAACAATAAACTCGAAATAATTGATTTGAGAGGGTGTAGGACTGGTATGTATAAATATAACATTGTATAAAGTCTGGACAACAAGCTAATAACTGTAATAACGTAAAATGGTGGGAACTAGCGGTAAACTAGTGTGAGCTGCGTCGGTGTTTCTAAAGAAACAGTTATGTAAAAAGATAAATTTAGTTTTTCCACATACTTTTTTACGGTGTTAAATTTATCTTTTTACATAACTGTAATAACGTAATATGTTTTTTAACATTAATAATACTAATACTGTACTTGTGCTTTTCTATTWCATTTTTAGGTTTCCATGGGACATCAGCATTTTGTAAACTAGCCCTTGGGTTTCCTGTGTCACAAAGTGATGTCTCTGAAATGACAGTGATTGACAGCCGTCTGTTAACTCAAGTGGAACAAAATGCTCAGTTTCTGATAGCCAGAGTTCCTCCAGTTACAGTGATTTTAGATTGCTATGTCAATATGGATAACTATCAACTTATGAAGCAGGCTCTCGTTCAGCATTCCATTTTGGATATTAAGGCTTGTAACATGACACTGGTGGAGCTTGGGAGGAAAAACGTTTGCTCTTTGGTGTCTTTTCTTGAGGTTKGTATTAATGATAAAGTCACATATATTCAATAGAATTCTATATTTAGCCTATTTACTTCCATCCTCCTCTCTTCCAGACTCGTACATAGTCGCTTCTCAAGGCACGCGCAATGCATGAAGGGAAGTGCGAAGAAAAGGCATGTTACTTTTTCTTTCGACTTCCCTTGATCCTTTGCGCGTTAGAGAAAAAAGGAGAGAAAYGACTGGGTATGAGTCTGCCTCTCTTCCTGCTGAGGGAAGATTGTTGTGAGGAGAAAGAGTGAAACAGAAGTTATTACATTGTATAGTTAATAGTGGGAAAAATAAAAATTCTTTGCTATTGGGGGTCCTGCAAAATAACTTTCCAGCTTTGTATCGAAGAATTCCTTTATATTGCCAAGTGATGTCAAGGCAAATTGAGAAAACTTCAATTTTTTGTCTTCATTTCTCAGCCTGATATAATCACAACACTTGATGTCAGTATGAACTCCCTTGAAAGTGAAGGAWTCGTATCACTCTCAGAGCACCTCAAGAATTTTAGAAACCTACACAGCTTGAACCTCAGTTACAACCGCTTAACTCACCAAAACACAGAGGCTATCAGATCATTAGCTGGTGCTTTTGAACATCTTTCMCAATTRCAGAGACTTATATTGACAGAAAATAACTTGGGTAGCGGAGTAGTCACTCTTCTTCAAAGCCTACAATGTCCTTTGACTCATTTGACMATCAGYGGGTGTGGGGTCAGGTCTCAGGAACTTACTTCCCTTGCCAACATCCAAACATTGTCTCAATTGGAACATTTAGAGCTGTCAACTAATGCCCTAGTGAATTGTGTTACTTCCATGTCGAAGTTTGTATGCAAGTCAAAGAAAACTCTCAAATATCTCCAAATTGAGGACAACATGTTTGTTACATCATCTGTCAGTACCTTGTGCAAGATGGTAAAGAAGTTGGAAAAGCTTGAAGTACTATCAATATGCTATAATCATTTACTACCTGACGATGTGCAGACAATTCAAAATGCCGTTTCACATGTGAAAGTAATAAACAGAGACTGGTTGTTTTAACTGATAAAGAGAAAATTATAACAAAAGTTCTAAATCTAATGTAAGATCTAAATCTTGAGATTTTAATAAACAAACTGACAATATCACCGAAACAAACCTCTGCAATAAAAAAAAAATTCTATTGACTGACATGTTATGTTTTAATACTATAGTGCCTGCAAAACAATGTTTCCCATCCACCCCTTTCTTTCCTAACTTGGTTAAATTCTTATCTTTTAGAGTAATTTTTGTTGCAGACAGATTTTATTAAAGACAACAACATAGACTGTATCTAAGCAATGTAGTTTTTAATTTGGTTTAAATAAACAAAMTGGTTTCTACACAACAACACTAAATTGTACTACTTTACAAACAAGCCTTTTTGGTTTGGCAGCTACATATTGTGTTTATTGTACAAATTAGTTTTTGGTACTCAACATGTGTTAGACCTTTGCCTCTTATAATGCTGGAAGTCTACAATTTCACAAATAGATAGTCTTTTTTTACCCACTCTAAAGTGTTCTAGTTCTGGGAAAGTTTGTGGACCATTTCTTCCTTCGTTATAAGATGAGTCGTTCGATTTAACAGTTGCATCAGTGTTGAGATATTGTGCGACCACTCGTTAAGGATGTCATTACAAGCCTTATTGGTACTGAATGTAACTATACCRGATGGACGATCGATTCTAGCAAATACTGTCTTGGAAACTACTAGTTCTGACAGAAAGTGCTCGCTTTCCTGTAAAAGAAAATCAATGATATCATTCCAGACTTGTCCTAATAGCAAAATGTACACAGTATGCACTACATGAGTGGTTGTAGTTAGTCTACTGCAAGTTCAATTTTAATTGATGTGGTTTCTGTTAATGCATTTAACACACTTTGGTACTTTTTTTCACCATTTTCTTTGTGTATCACACCTTATTAACTTTGACTATTACACTTTGTTTCAAGGGTAAATAAAAACCATTCCATATTTATGCACTTAATTGAAATATTTAAGCCATTTTACAAACTTACCTCAGTTGTAAGGTACAACAATTCTGACATACGTTTCAATGTTATTCTAGTATAGTACTTGGCCATAACTCGAATATTCTAATAAGAAAATAACAAATATCAACCATGATAAACAACATACTAATATTCTACAAGGTTACATCATGAAAGCTACAACCAAAAGGGAGCATGGAAAAGCTAGTAATATTACAAGTGCGATCATGATTACAAGTGCGATCATGTTTTAGTGTCAAAAGATTGCCTACACTAAACAAAATGATCTTTCACAAGTAATGGAGCATGTTTATATTTAAGAAGTATAAAACGGCGTGTGTCTCTGTCCTCTGATATAAACACGGTGGGAGTTCGAAAAACACAAGAGAAGCAAGCTTAGTAACACGAGCGTAGCGAGTGTTTCTCTTGCTTCTTGAGTGTTTTTTAACTCCCACCGTGTTTATATCAGAGGACAGAGACACAAGCGGCCGTTTTATATTTCTTTAATAAAATTTTTTGAGCGAAAAGAAAATTTTGCCGGTAAGCTGTGTCTCTGTCCTCTGATATAAACACGGTCATCAGCCAATCAGAGCGCGCGTTGTATATCAAAAATTTTATAAAGTCAAATATAATTTGAGCTTCTTTTCACTGACAGTCACCTTTTGTGTTAGCTTTCACTTGTGATAATACTGACAAAGTAACCCAGCAACGTTAATTCAGTTAGGTTTTAACAACTCTGTTTTTAAGATATTAAAATATCTTACATGTTCAACAACACGTTTACGTAGTTCCTCCCAAGTCTTATTGCCATCATCAGTGATTGAATCAAACACGGTCTTCCCACTTCCATTCCTTAATTCATTCCCATAAGTCTCTTGAATGTTGGACCAATTCATCAACTCTGGTGTGGTGAAGCATTTCAGCAACTCTCTGAGTAGAGAAAATCATGATAGTTTTGAAATAATTAATACAGTGTGATGTGTGGGACTGCCCAAGAAAGTTCAAGAAAGTCAGCTGATTAGAGAGCGAGAGCTGTTAGTTGGATTGACAGGCATGTTTGGAATGAATTAAAAGCTCAAAATATTGCTAAGTCAAAGTCCCACAAGATTCCATTTTCTTAADATTGGTTTAGACTTTTTACAGGTAACTTTTTAGAGAAAACCGTCTGTAGCAGCTTAYTGAGTTGGCAGCATTGATTTTGCAGTGCTCTATAGAGTTTAAAAACTGTTTCAAAGTCAAARGCATTAATTGCATTAAAMCATTTCCTCTCACACTTTCATTAGCTAGCTCTTSGGGAACCATGTTTTGAAATATACGTCRCCCTCTAATAGTCTAGACCTTTTCAATGTCATGGTTTGGCTGAATACATGAAACAACAGAAAAAGTCATGATAATACTTGGTCTCAGTAGAATTACTTTAGTAAAAAGGTACAATACTTACTGATAGAGTGGAATTTCCTCCAAAGATTTCTCTTCTTTTACTCTATGGATCAGGTCAGACTGCTCATTGTCAAATGGCGATAAAACCAAATACATCACAACATTCCTGAGGGCCTGAAACATTTAGTACAACAATAATGATTAGATCYTCAAGTCTTTATCACTACTTCAAACAGCATTTTGTAGTCTAGCCTGCATGCTTTGCAAGCACTTCTTTGCTCTGGGTTTCCTGTGGAGAAGCAAAATAGGTAATGGGGCCCATTCCTCTACAGTCCTTATTACAAAGGAAACCCAGTGCCATTGCTTGCAGAGTAAGCTACAAGTAGTCAGAAACGTAGTCATAGTATCTATTGACTATTCTTCAAGTTCCAGGACATGTGGGAATAGCCTTGAATGTGTAATTTGACCTAGCARCGAGGCTATTCTTGCCTGTACTGAAATAATACTGTAAGAATTTGMCAATTTTTCTATTTCCTGGCAAATGATGCACAGACAAATCACAGAAGAATTCTAATTTTCTTTGGATCATATATTATTAGTGTTTGTATACCTGATGTTTTTTGTCTTTATCTTCCATTATCATGGGTGTGTCATAAATGGCTTTGTAATATTTACATGTTGCTAGGTAACTGCCCTCRTGTCGTGCCAACTCAATTAACAGCTGATAAAACTTGAGCTTAAGGTCCTGGGGARGGAAAAYATTTTACTACATGCAAAGAAAAACAACAGTGAAAACAGAATAAAATATTTTAACTAACTAGATTAACTGATTTGTCCTTATTTCGATTAGTTAATAGTACCTGTTCCTGATTGTTCTCAAAAAACTTTGGACTAATTTTCTTGCTAATGATTTGCGTCCGRACAAAGTCTTTCTTGGCCAAGCATARGCGCATCTGTTCCAGAATGAATTCAACTTTCTCCTTTCTTTCCATTGAACCAAAGGTTTCAACCTTTCAAAGAAATATT